ATGGTTCCTGGCAAGCCCATGTGTGTTGAGAGCTTCTCTGACTATCCTCCCCTGGGTCATTTTGCTGTTCATGATATGAGACAGACAGTTGCTGTTGTTGTCATCAAAACTATGGACAAGAAGGCTGCTGGAGCTGGCAAGGTCACCAAGTCTGCCCAGAAAGTTCAGAAGGTTAAATGAATATCCCTAATTCCTGCCACCCCAGTCTTAATCAGTGGTGGAACAACAGTCTCAGAACTGTTTGTCTCAATTGGCCATTTAAGTTTAATATTACAAGACTGGTTAATGATAACCTTCAGAAGAAAAGGAAAATGTTTGGTGGACCATTTCAGTTTTTTTGTGTGAGTGGAAGTTTTAAGTTATTAGTTTTTAAAAATCAGTACTTTTTAATGGAAACAACTTGACCAAAAATCTGTCACAGAATTTTGAGACCCATTAAAACAAAGTTTAATGAGGGGAAAAAAAAAAAAAAGAACATAGTAGCTAAATTTTGAAGACTATGACTTGTGAAGAGCAGGTATCCTGTTGTAGTCATCTTTTAATCCTTGTACTTGGTGCAGTGCCCAGAAAATAATCAAGTTCTCAATCTGTGTTTGGAGAGTGAAGATGCAAGGAAAATGATATACTGCAAGAGGCTGTGCACAAAAGGCCTAGAGCCACAGCAAAAACTTCATGCATCATTAGTACTGGTGCACAGAGCCTTCCAACCTTTCAGCCTCATTTCTTCTGCTTAGAAATGCTTAGCATTCTGAAACAGTTACCTGGTACCAACAAAGTGAAATACTTTTAATGATGATAATTGCTGTGATCTTGGCATTTTACATCTTAGAAACCTTTCTATAAACATTAGCTCATTATAGTCCTGGGAGAGTATGGCATTTCCTTTCTTTTGGTTCCCATTGTCCTTGAAAATTCATTGGGTTGATTTCTTTGCCTTAGACAAGCAGCTAAGTGTTAAGAGTGGTACATGGTTTATGCAAATATCAACAATTCAGTCAAAAACATAAAGGCGAGGGAGGCAAAGAGAGAAGGGAATTTTTCAGCTTGAATATTCTTTAGCTCCAAGACAGTTATAAGGTATGTGCATAGGACCTTGCATCTTCACTCTCCAAACAGATGGGTCAGTGAGTGTATAAAAGTGAGAGGAGCCTGTTCTTACCTTAAAACTTTCCAGTCCTGAAACTCTTTGCCATTTTCATCAGAAGGAGGGAGAAGACAGGATCAGAGTGTTTCCTCTCCTCTACTGCTCAAGTGATTCGTGCTGTCCAAAAATATAAGCTGTCCTGGCTTGGTGGTGCAGTGGGTAGCAAACTGAACTGAAGTACTGGATGCCATATCACCAACCACAGTTCAGAAGCCCAGGTGGGCTTGAAAATATGCTGGGTCCATGCAAATGTGCCCAAGATCTTGGCGAGCTAAACAGTCAGGGAAGAGGATCATGGAATAATGAGACCCTGTCAAGGATGTCTCTCTCATCTCTCACTCTCGTGCATGCACCTGTGCTCTCTACCATGAATACAATTAACTTTACATATATATGCTGAAGAATGGAATACAAATCAGTAGGAACAATACAAACTGGATTCTCCTGGACTTTTTTCATTTGCTGAGAAAGGTCAGCTACTCTAATGTAAAATAAATGTGAGAAAAGATGAGCTTTGGACTTTGCAAGAGTGAAGAAAAGATTAAAATACTATGCAATACAGATGAAAGGACCTACCTATGTTATCTTCAAAGAGCCATATAATTGGGGTCAGCAGTTCTAAGTAGTGGGCATATCATGTTTGCCAGCCACACATAATCTCTTAGTGGAGAGTTTGAATTCTAATAATGTTCAGACTGGTTAGGGCAATCATACTTTCCCATTTATGCCTATTATCCTGATATAGTTATTAATAGCATTCCCCTTTGCTCTCAAAAAAGTGAAGTACAAGGCCACAGTAGTAATAAGTCAAGAAGGAGTAAGCCAAGCACCTGTATTCCCCATGGAGAAGTAGGACCAAAATACATTTGTTACTGAAATTTTTCATGTTAATATTTTGTGAATGTGGGAAGTTGTACATATGCTGGAAAGAATTCAGTTCAATAAACATTGTTTCTCTAGGACTTACGTTAAAATAGGAAAAGATTCAGAAACATGAATAGGACAGAGATTTACTCAGGAAGATCTTATAGAGTGACAAAGATGACTCATAAAGAATACTGTATGCTTGAGACTGTAGGAGTGAAAGGAACTTTCCCTTCTGAAGAATCCCTTCAATCTGTTAAAATAAACTTTAATACATGTTTACCTTTCATTTATTAAAAATAATAGTAGGAGAAAAATCTTAACAAACATTAATGTGCACAAGCATGGGCATCATACACGAAATATAATACTCAAAGAAAGACCAAATGGTTGAATCTGAAGTACTTTCTTCATAGGAAAGAGGGAAGTGGGTGAGATAGACACATTTAGAGAGATCATAAATTATTATTTTTTTCTTTTTTTAAAAGAGATTTTTGCTATAGGGCATGTGCACTTGCCAGAGAGACAGAGAGACAGAAACCAAGAAATCGCCCCCTGAGAGAGGAAGATGGCCACACCACAGTCCCTTCTCCTCCATTCTCCTCTTGAGATTTTTGGGCACTCATGCACATGTACCTGATATGAGTTTCATGTTGCCAGGTCCAGGACCCAAACCATGGTCAACTACCATGTTGAGAGTCCAGCAATGTAACCATTACATCATCTGCTGGTCCCTTGTAAATGATTTTTAAGGGGAATAAATGGACACCTGGAAATTAGAAATTAGTTTGTAATGATTCTCTTTGGAATGTGAATGAGCCAGAGAGAAAGTAAAGATCTTGTGGAAAACGTGACAGAGTTCATCCAGGTGTGTTACATTTCTTCCTTCCCACAACAGGTAATGAATTTTTCTTTTCTTAAACTTTTTTCAATTAATGTACATTCATCTCCTAATCATCATCACAGCATGAAAAAAGTGGTTTCCCATCCAGAATATACTGCATAGTGGCTTAATCATGTATGTTATCATCAATAATTTTCCATTTCTAGTTTCACATATGTGTGTGTGTGTGTGTGTGTGTGTGTGTGTGTGTGTGTGTGTGTATTTACCCCTATGTCTGACCCTCTGCCCTTTCCCACCCTCTTATAGGTAATGAACTTTTAAGGAGAAGCTACAAGGCAGCTGTGTTCTATTTGGTGAGTGAGTCTGGCTTAAAGAAGATAGGGAATTTCAGAGAAACACATTAAACCCAATGCTGGGATGGGACAGACAAAGGAAAGACCAAAAAGTTCTTGATTCAGAGGCAGCTCTTAGGGCCTTTCCATTAATATTTTAGTTCAAAGTACTCAGCATAACAAGGTGCTGAACTTTTTGGGTATTGTTTTCTAAGCCCCAACAAGACACTAAATGCTTATATCCTTGGAACTAGAATGTTAGAGCATGAAGAGATGTTGAAGAGCTAATCTGATCATCTCCTCAGTTTACAGATGAAGGTGTTGTTTGTCCAGGCTCACATAACCCTAAAATGGGGCAACCATGGTCTTTGCCTGAGATCACTCCTGTTGTCTATTGTCATGGCATAACTACTAATAGCATCCCCTCTTAGGAGTGACCTAATTTAGATGATAAATTATATGGTCCCCCACTATAGGGAGCAGGATCCCCTGATCTTGACCAGTATCTCTTCAATGTGGCACTATTGACATTTGTTGACATTTGGCACCAGATCAATGTTTATTATGGAAGGATTTTTTTTTTCTTTTTTGAGATGTTTTTGCTATAGGGCACGTGTGATCACCAGAAAGACAGAGAGACAGAGAGACAGAAAGCGAGAAATCACCCCCTGGGAGGATGGCTATGCCACAATCCCTTCTCCGTTTTACTCTCAGGATCTTGGGCCTGCACGCACATGCGCCAGCATGAGTTTAAACCACTGGGTCTGGGACTCAAACCACGGTCGACTCCATGGGAGTCCAGCGATATAGCCATTACGCCAACTGCTAGTCCCTGGAAGGGATTTTTTTATGCATTATAGGATGTTTAGCAATATTGCTGGCTTCTAGCAGCAATATTGCTAACATCTTCTACTAGGATGCTAGTAGTGACTCTTCTCCCAGTTGCAACAGCTAAAATTGTCTCCAGACATTGCTCAGTGCCCCTGGGGGCATAATTGCTCTGGGGGAGAACCTTTGCCCTAAGTGATGACTGATGCCAAAATACATAAAGATGCCTGACCTGAAAGACCAGAAATAAGGACCATTCCACTCGTTGCTCAACAAAAACCAATCCTGAGACAAGAGTTGGTGAATAGGGATGGAATTGATTTCAGTGAGGCCAGCACTGGGAAGAGAGTGGATCAAAGTCCTTAACCATCTCCTCTGTACTGGATGAGATACAGAACTTACATAGCGGAAGGGATCATGTGAGCATGCATCTAAAAGCAAAGAGCAAGTTATTCATTGTCTTGAGGAAAAATTATGAGGAGGATTGGTCGTTGTCTTGGGAAAAGATCACGAGGAGATCTGATAGTGTCAGGGAGGCTATCACTGCTTGAAGGCAGTTTTCATTCAAGTATACAGGGCAGAATGACCAATTTCATTACTCTGTTAGATTGGAATCCCCAGATAAATTCTTTGGTGATGCTGAAACTACTGGTCTGAAAACCACGCTTTGAGAACCACTGGTTTAATCTCAAGGATAATAGTTCTCCATTAGGATTCAGGAGCATCCAGGCAGAGTAGTAACATGGTTTCTTTGGCTTGATTGTCTCCCTAGTCTTCTGTTTTTGACCTTTACTCCCCATTTTCACTCCCCATTTCACTTCATATACCCAACACTCTCATGTTCCCTTGGCCCTCTTCTATTAAACACTACTCTCAAGAAAGCGTTTAATATCAAAAAATACCATGGCATTGAGGGAATATCTTACCCTTTTACAGAGTAATTGACATTAGAACAAATCTTCGCTCGTGCAATGTCCATGTTAATTTTTAAGGACTGATCTGTGCACATGTCTTTTATATGGGCATCCTTCTTGCAGAAGAACTGTTGGGATAGGTGTATCAAGTGGTCTCTGCCATAAGATGTACATACAAAGAAACACCGAACAAACAACTATCTAATGACGGGATGATTGTTAAAGCAACTGTAAGTTCAGATAGATGGTTTAAGCAATTTCAGGGTCTGGGTGAACCTTGTTGAAGTGTCACAATTGTGGTCTCTTCTTTTTAGGTACTAATTATACTTAGAAGACCCTACCACCACCACAACCGTTTTCTTCCTACCTATCAGTTGGCAAGAGAGCAAAACAGGTATCCACATTTTCACTTATTGGTATTAAGAAAATAAATCTAAACACAGATATATGTTCATTACTAGAAATTTTTTTCTTGAGCCAACCAGTGGCATAGAGGTTAAGGCAGCTAGATCCCACATGGCCGACTGCATGGTTCAAGTCTTAGATCCAGTGGCTTAAAACACACACTGGGCATATGTGCATGTGTGCCCAAAATCCTGAGAGAAGAAATGGAGGATAAGGAATTATGGCTTGACCATCACCCATACAAGGTGCTTTCTCACTTTCTCTCTCTTTCCTTCTGTCTCCCTCTGGTGAGTGAATGGGCTTACTTCCAAATTAATTTTTTTCTTTATTCATGATAGAGGGCCTGCATGTGCACATGAAAGTTAAAGAGAGGGAAAAAAATGAACATTCTCACAGGGCCTAG